TTGCTAGCCTATTAACACTTGCTGATGCTTTTTAGTATGTTCCTAGGAGTCCATAACAGTGTTAAACATGTCACTTCCTGTTGCCAGCAGGTGGCGCTATGAGTATAACTGAATTTGTGCATGGGTATTTGTTCAGGACATAACACCTATCAAACATGTGAAGTTTGGGGCAGATCGGACCTTGCTTGCCTGAGTTACAGCAACTTCCTGTTTCATGGCGAAACATCAAACTTTGTCAGGTCGCCAGGGACACGCCCCTTGACGAAAACTCAAAATCCTAGACTTCTTCTGAAGAGGTGCGTTCGACTTGAAGCACGGCTACAGACGGCGGTCAACGAGATTAGCCGAGCAGTCAGGGGCGGAATCAAAAGCGGAGACGTGAAGTCGGACACTTTCTGTTCCCGGTAACGAACTCATACCTCATCAGCCCCGGAGCTGCTTCTGTTTTACAACAGTGAGCGCAAGCTAGATTCACCCCCTGGAGCCGTGTTCACACTTTTTATTATGGATGGGCGCCTTTTATTTCATTTATTTTGGACTGTGCAAATCCAGTGTCAGAATGTACCTTGTTATAAAACATTTGTCACCGAAATGACGGGAACAAACAAACACTCTTGAGAAACTCCGTTGCTGCCTTGGAAAAACAAATTGCATCCACTGTTTCCGTTGCTGGGAAAAACAAATTGCATCCACTGTTCACATAACACTGAATAAGGTTATCTTTTCCTCACATCCAAAAACACACTCTTTAGAGATATTAGGCTTGTTCGACTTCATGTGGCGCCGCAAGGATCGGCTGCCGCCTGTCAAAAACAATGCATTCTGGTTACATAAAAAATGCTTTTGTCCAAATTTGATCAGCGCTGCAGCTGCCCTACGATCACATGAGCATTCAAAGTACCGCGAGAGCAAAACGGGACCAGCTGCCTAGGTCAGGCACTGCAAAAGCCTTGATGATGTAGGAAACTTTTTCCTCGTCGAAGCAGAAACCAGGAGACGTTGGGATATCTTTCATACAGAAGTCACTCTTTATTGAGGACTCGCTGTGCGTCGCTGCAGTCATCCAAGTCTGACTAACGTAGTGATACATTGTAGTTTATATAAATTTAAAGGGGGCGGGATACATTCCGTAGAGGTGGAGACAATCTAACCCATAGCATGCAAATGAAGTACAGGAATCAGCCCGACACCGGCATTTTCCCAGCCTTGATCTCATCAGCATAACAGTGTCATTCAAATGCATAGGTGCTAATCCAATCAGATTTTCCCAGCCTTGATCTCATCAGTATAACAGTGTCATTCAATGCATAGGTGCTGATCCAATCAGTCTGACAGTATCGCCATACTTTCGCATTATCACAGAGACAAAGGTACAGCTGTGCTTTGAGCTTAAAAAGCCAGATGGTCAGGAAGAGCATAAAGACAAAAGGTCATTATCTCAGACACCTGGGCTTCTTGATTTGATCTCCTTAGAAATGTCATCCTTTTTTTACCTCAAAATGTAAAACACAAGGTACATAACTTTTTCAATATATATTCTATTACATTGGAACCTAGATTTAACATTTTATAAATTTGTAATACAACAATGACGACACACTTTATTTTTAGGTAGTCCCACTGTTATATTGAGTCACGTTTCAAAAAACACTGATGAAAGCATATACCCACTTAATTGGTATTTAAATAGCATATGTTAATGTTTAACTTATTCATTAACAGATGGCGCTGTATTAAGCAGTATAGAAAGTGTTCCTGTTGCTTTATGAAAACACTTCTGAAACATCTGTGTATTTGACAAATGCTGCATTTAATTCACTTCATCTGTGAATGTATGCAAACACTGCGAGAGCGTCATTACCAGGAGCAGAAAGTTTCTGACTTGACGTCTCCCTTTTATTTCACCCCGACTGCAAGCGGCTACTCTCTCCAGCCGGAGACAGGCTAGGTGTAGTTCCTCTCGCACAACCTAGTCTTCTCGAGCAAGTAACTGCGGCGCTGCCGAAGACTTCCGTAACCATGAAAGAAACGCATTAAGCGGCGTCCTCTTGCTATCGCTTGGGTCACTGAGTGCGCGCACGCGCATAAGAATCCAACTCTTAACAGTGTAAATAACTCAGAATGAAATGACATTAGACCCCCTTTAAGCGCAGCATATTGAAGCGACAAGCATGTTGCCAGTGACAACGATAAGTACCGCACATTCGCGTGAACTAGCACAAGCATTTAACTGAAAACAACGTAATGAGCCCAAGCAACACGGATAGCCTTAGCAACACGCATGTTGCAGATAACCTGAGAGCATTAAATGGAACTTAGCTTGTGAAGACGTTCGAGAGAGTGAAACATAGCAGCTGTGAAGTGGATGCTTGATCTCTTGATATCCTTCTTGGGGATAAAGTTCCCATCTGAACTTGTTCTTGAGTCAGTCACATAACTTGTGGAGTTCATGACTATAATGTAGCGATGCGTGAAATAATGCTAACTCAGTCACTTCCGAATCAGGCATCTTATAATCGATGCGGTGAATTCACGTGTTCAAGTTAACGAACTTGAATGAATCGGAGGGGAGACCGTTGGGGAAGCAAATTCCACTTCTCTAAATTCCCGATTCCTGCTGATGGTGTTTTGTCTGCCGAATTCGCCATTTAATTAGCTATTGAGCAATGCGAAAACTGCTGATAATACTGAGGGACCTTATATATGAATGTTTAGATAGGTGCCAGATTTGAATCATCTTTGAGAACAAAGGAGTCCCCTGGTGGTGTCCGGCACTGCTAACTAGTTAAAAAAGGCTCATAAACTGAATAAATCATGTCTTTCTTTAAATCTAGTGTTTTGAACAAGTTTCTGTGATGTTTGTAGTTCATAGACGATATCATTAACCTGATAGAAAAACAATGAAAGTCTATGAGATGAGCTCAGTGATACAGTCAAACAACCATCTGTGTGTGTGTGTGTGTTGTGAGTTTGTAGACCTACACTTTCGCAGTCCCGCTGTCATCATGATCTCTCCTCCATGATCCACACTATAAACACACATTAATGTAGATCTGCATCATTCACACACGTTCAGTATGTCAGTATTGGTGTTTGACATACTTAAGTATCTGCAGTTGATAGTTTGGATCCTGCAGTTTGTGGTTGAGCAGCTGAACTCCTGATTGTCCTGCGTTATTGTAGCTCAGATCCAGCTCTTTCAGATGTGAGTGGTTTGAACTCAGAGCTGAAAACACATAACTACAGCCTTCCTCTGTCACCATACAGCCAGACAACCTACAGACACACAGACACATCATCTACAGACATACACAGTCAGATCATCTACAGATCATCTGACAGAATGTGCTGATTTTCCATCCGAGTTAGTGCTGGCTGCAGATAAAGTTTTAATTGTTGGTGATTTTAATATCCATGTTGATAATGAAAAAGATGCATTGGGATCAGCATTCATAGACATTCTGAACTCTATTGGGGTTAGACAACACATCTCAGGACCTACTCATTGTGTCAGATCATCTAGAGACATAGTCAGATCATCTACAGACACACAAAGACAGCTCATCTACAGACACACACAGATGGTGACCCATACTTGGAATTAGTGCTCTGCATTTAACCCATCCAAAGTGCACACACACAGCAGTGAACACACACACACCGTGAACACACACCCGGAGCAGTGGGCAGCCATTTATGCTGCGGCGCCCGGGGAGCAGTTGGGGGTTCGGTGCCTTGCTCAAGGGCACCTCAGTCATGGTATTGAAGGTGGAAGAGAGTGCTGTACATTCACTCCCCCCACCTACAATTCCTGCCGGACCGGAGACTCGAACCCGCAACCTTTTGGGTTACGAGTCTGACTCTCTAACCATTAGGCCACGACTTCCTGTAAGTTTTCCTGTAAATTTTACTGTAAATTATCTCTTAAATGTTCTTAATACCTCAGTATCTGCAGCTGACAGTTTGGACTCTTCAGTCCATCAGAAATCAACTTTACACCAGAGTCCTGGAGGTCATTGTTACTCAGATCCAGCTCTCTCAGGACACCATTTGAGGATTGTAGAGCTGATGAAAAACTCTCACAACACTGAGCAGTGAGATTACAACAAGACAGACTTAAAAAGAGGAGAACACACATCAACTGTGAGATCATCTACAGACACACACAGTCATATCATCTACAGACACACAGATCATCTACAGACACACATCAACATTGTGACCAGTTGACTGTAAATTATCTCTTATATGTTTTTAATACCTCAGTATCTGCAGCTGACAGTTTGGACTCTTCAGTCCATCAGAAACAAACTTTACACCAGAGTCCTGCAGGTCATTGTTACTCAGATCCAGCTCTCTCAGGACACCATTTGAGGATTGTAGAGCTGATGAAAAACTCTCACAACACTGAGCAGTGAGATTACAACAAGACAGACTTAAAAAGAGGAGAACACACATCAACTGTGAGATCATCTACAGACACACACAGTCATATCATCTACAGACACACAGATCATCTACAGACACACATCAACATTGTGACCAGTTGACTGTAAATTATCTCTTATATGTTTTTAATACCTCAGTATCTGCAGCTGACAGTTTGGACTCTTCAGTCCATCAGAAACAAACTTTATACCAGAGTCCTGCAGGTGATTGTTATTCAGATCCAGCGCTCTCAGGACACAGTTCGAGGATTGTAGAGCTGAAGACACAATTTCCCAATGCTGATCTGAGAGATCACAGCCAGACAATCTGGAAGTAATAACAAAACAATACAGACATGTACAGAGTGTTGCCAGTTTTCTGCCCTCGGGGAACGGAGGGAACGGAGGTCTGAACATTGAATCACAATAAGATGAGCTGCTGAGATTGAGATAATCTGATCATTTTATTCATTTTATC